GGACAGGTCAAACTGGTTCATTTTCTCCATCCAAACTTTCCCTTTTCTTGCACTTTTTTTGCCCCCGATGCAGCAGCTCCTGATCCACAGGGAGAGGCTGGGAACAGCACAAGGGAGGAATTCACCATCAAGGAGGACTGAAAGTCCTCCTAAGGATTATCAGAGCCCTGGAGTCAGGGTGAGGAAACTGCAGCAAGAATGAGTCAGGAACATCCTACTGGAAAAACACCAAATTCTGGACTTGGCATTGACCTCAAGAATTCCCATATTTTCCCCAACAGCTCAATGCAAAATACAAGACAATCCCTTAAGCACCTGGATTTGTTTTGATGCTCATGAGAGTTCACCCACTGCCACAATAAACAGCAGCTCCATAAACTCAATCCCATGGAGCCAAATCTCTGTGGATCCCAGACGGCTCCTTGGCACACGACTCCAAGCTATCAGCCTACAAATCAGCCATTCCCAAGCTTTGCTGCTGCAAATCCCTCTATTTATTTACTTTGCTTCTCAACAGATTCTGTTTCCAGCACTTCAGAACTTGGTCCTTTTTAAAGGTTTTTAAATACTCAGATTAAACCAGCAAATCCCCGTCCACCTAAACCAGCAAAATTTTAGGAATCCTCCTAAGCTGCTGTGCAAGAGAAGTACTTTCTTAAATTAAGTTATTTTACCATCTTACTGAAGTTATTCCACACAGATTTTGGCAGAGAGAGGTAGGACTTTAGAGACTAGTTTATCTCATTAAAGGAACTGCAACTTTAATTGACAATCCCACAAAGGAATGTCAATTCATATCAACACACCATCTTGTGCAATCAATTTTTTCCCCTTGTAGTAAAAGATTTCCAGAGCTCCAAGGCACTAACAGTTATTGAACAGTAAAATAAAGCTCTTCAAGGATACACTGATAGAACAACCTGCAAATGAACGTGAACCTGAAACTCAAAATGAGCAGAACTGCCTGGAAAATGAAACTACAACCCAGAGATTTTGAGTTAAAGGTTCACAGATCACAGGGAGATTAATAAAAGAGACCTGAGAAACAAAGAGTATAAAAGACATTTCTGATGTGGATCATTATGAGCCACAACATCACATTTCAACTTATATATTGTCCATTTTTTTAAAGTCTTTTACTTTGCCATCAGCTTTCCTCCCCCTCGGGACACACAACTGGATTAAGCAGCACATGAAACTTGGGAAATATACGATGTAAATCTCAGTTTTGTGTCTCCAGGAGCAAAGAACCACGTGCCATGGCCATTCCCTAGGACAGGACAAGACCTGTGGCATCCAGGCACATCCTGGAGGAGCTCCAGGAGCGCTGGATCCACCCTGGATGAGCTGCAGGCACAGGGACAAGTGAGACCCTGCACATCCTGGAGCTCCCAGGGGAAAAGAGGTGCCAGAAGTGGATCCTGGGACAATTTGTGCAGCTGAGCCCTGTGGCTGTGTCCTACAGGGGTATCCTGGAATTCCACAGGTGACACAGCTTGGACAGGGACAACCTTTCGCCGGGGGCTTTGGACCTTCCCTGCAGTACAGGACACACTTTTCCCTGCACGGACACTTCCATAAACTATCCCAGGTTGCTCCAAGCCCCACCCAACACGGCCTTGGACAATTCCAGGGATGGGGCAGCCACAGCTTCTCTAGGAAATCCATTCCAGCCTCTCACTACCCTCACAGGGAGGAATTCCTTCCCAATATCCCACCTAAAGAAAGCATAAATGACATAGGAAACAGACAAACTTCCCCCAAAAAACCCTATTTAAAGAAAGTAGTAAGAAGTTTACACTCATTAATTCATTCATCTGGCCCTGTTCAATCTTGTTTCAGAGATGTCAGGACTATTTCAAGTGCAACACATCTTTTCAAACAAGAGTTTCAAATTATTCCTGTATTCTCATCGTAGATCAGCTATAACCCAAATACTGCCCACCCACACTGGTTATGTGGCACCTCTACAAACAGGACCCTTTAAGAAATTATAATTGATTAGAAGGGTATTGATGGAAAATTGATGGAAAATACACTGCAATATTCCAGGATCCCCTTCTTTCCTGCTGAGTTCCTGCAAGTCCAGGGGCAGAAGCAACAAGTTGGGATGAGATGCTGCTGGAGCTCCAGCCAGGAAACAAGGGACACTGAAGTCAAATTAATTCTATTTATTTCTCCTTAACCAGGGCTGCCTTTTTCCCTTTTCCAAGTTAAAGTTCACTAAAACAGGAACACTTGAATCCCACCCCCCAAGAGAGGCACCACAACCAGTTACCTTTGAAATCTAAAGATCAAGGAACCACAGGAATTTTGCTACTTTCTTACAATCTCTCCCATAGGAACAAGGCCCCAAACACCCAGAACATTTGTGTGGTTACAGAAAACATGTTTTCTTTGACAATTTTATCAACAGCGTTTTTCCAAACCCATCGAGTTTTGGACTCGAGGAAAGTGTGGCCTCAATTCAAAGTCATGAAAGAAGAATTCATTTACAATGACAACACTCCTTAGCGTTCCTTAACATTCCAGCTCCAAATCTTTAGCTGTATTTCAGTGCTGGTTTTGGCAGTGCTGGGTCATGGTTGGACTCGACGCTCTCGGAGCTCTTTTCCCACCTAAACGACTCCAGAGCGTGGGAAAAAGCCCCAAGTCAAGGGGACACCACAGGTCAACCAGAAAACAGCAGAGAACTGCACTTAAGACCTCAAACCAAGCCGTGGACATGGCAACTACCTCCAGAATTCCCCGATTTCCCCCATATTTTCCATGTAAAACACGCGCCAGTCCCTTAACACCGGGATGTGAGTCCCTTAACACCGGGATGTGAGTCCCTTAACACCGGGACGTGAGTTCACCGCGGAGCTCCCGTGGGGCCAAACCCCCGCGGATCGCGGCTCCCGGATCTCCCTGCGGATCCCGGGATAGCCCTGTGGATCCCGGGATACCCCTGTGGATCCATCCCGGGATACCCCTGTGGATGGATCCCGGGATAGCGCCGTGAGTGGGCCCACGTGCGGCACCGGGGTTATCGGCGTTACCCCGCACCGGAGGCCGCGCGGCGCCGGGAGCGGCCGCAGGGCACCCCTAGCCCCTGCAGCAGGGTCCTTTACCCCCCATGCCGAGCCGTGCCCCCCCGTTATCCCCGATTTACCCCCTTTTCCCCGTTATCCCGGTATCCCGGTACCTCCGCGGAGCCGCCGCGGCCCCGGTTCGAGCCCAGCGCCTTCCGGGCCGCCGGGCAGGCAGCGCCAATCCACCGCCGAGCGCGCCCAGCCCGCCGCAGCGAGCGCCGAGACATCGATGCGCTGCCCTGTTGACGCCCACGCGGGTCTGGCGGGGGACAGGGGGGGACACGGAGGATCCCGCTGCCCACGGGGGGTGCAGAGCACACCCGGAGCTGTCTGCACCGGGCACGGCGCGGTGACCACTGTGGCACACTGCCTGGCACGCCGCGGGTGACGGGCAGGAGGGCAGCGTCGGTGATCCCGGGTGGGGGTCTCGATCCCGGGGTGAGGGTCTCGGGGCTCACGGGGAGGTGCAGAGCCCACGGAGCGCTGTCTGCAGCGGGCACAGCGCGATGATAGCGGCGATAACCCACGGGCATAGTGCGTGGCACGGCGCGGGGGACGGGCCGGAGGGGAGCGTGGGTGGTCCCGGGTGGGGGTCCCGCTGCCCACGGGGGGATGCAGAGCCCTCGGAACGCTCTCTGTAGCGTGCCCAACACGGTGACCCGACACGGCGGCCACCGCAACGACCCACGGGCACAGTGCGGGCGAGGACCAGGAGGGGAGTGTGGGTGGTCCCGAGTGGGGGTCCTGCTGCCCACGGGGGGATTCAGAGCCCTCCGGGCGCTGTCTGCATCGGGCACAGCGCGGTGACAACCGCGACGACCCACGGGCGCGCTGGTGTCACGCCGTGGGGGCCGGGAGGGGAGAACGGCCCGGGGGGCGCGAGGGGTTCCACCTCGCAGAAATTAAGGAGGGTCGGCGTTTAAAGCCCGGACAGGGTCAGTGTTTTACAGCCCCGTGGGCGAGGGGCAGCGCTCCCCGTGGGTACGGCGGGACGGAGCGCCCCGGACACGGGTGGGCACGGACCGAGCGGAGCCTCCGCCGGGAACGGCGAGAAAAGCGACGAAACGATTGAATCCTTCGCTTAATTCCGCCTTTTCCCGAATTCGATCGGTTTAACGCGAGCTCCCGAGCAAGGGATCCATGCCGCGGGAATGGCGGAATGCTGCGTGGGATCAACGAAAGCTCCGGCCGGAGGGGCCGGGCAGGGTCACACACCCGGGCCTCCGGTGTCCGATGCCCCCGGGACCGACAATGCCACGTGGGAGCGGGTTTTGGAAACCGGGAGCGCGGCGACCGGGAATCGCTGCGTGTCGTGTGTAACCGGGGCTGGACGCACTCTAATTCCACCCCCGATGCCCAACCTGCCCCCGTAAATAAACGCCCCGTTCTGTGAAGTCATCGCCCCAAAGGTCAATGAAAAATCGATACCCAGGCAAGAGTTAAACAATTCTGAATAATTTATTAGAATTTAGCGGAGGTGCAAGAGAGGCGAGTTCCGTCAACAGAAGTGCTCCGTGACGGGGTTCGAAAAACAAAGGGAAACAATATTAGCGATAAATAGCGGAATTGGCCCGAATCCGATGCCTCGGTGCGCGCCCGCTTCTGGCCCGGCCGCGTTTGTCACCGCCAATTACCCACGCGTTAATTCGGGGGGGTTTGGGCGCCCACGGACGAACTTTCGCGGCTCCCGCGGGGCCGGTCGCAGGGAAGCTCCCGTTGGCTGTGCCCGCGGGGCGGTGCGGGATGCGGGATGCGGGGCTGACCCGACCCCGCGGGGCGGTGCGCGGAGCCTGCGCGGCCCCCGCCGCCCCCCCGCCGTCCCGGTGGCCACTCCCCCGCCGCCCCGGCCCCGCTCCTCGCCGCGCTCGCCCGGGACCTCGCGCACGGTCCCGCTCCTAATTAAATTAATTAGGGCGCAGCGCGCGACGGGCGGGCGGTGCCGTGGCCGCGGTGCCCCGCGGCGGGCGGGCGGCCGGCAAGGACGGGGAGGAAGGAAGGGAGGAAGGAAGGGGTCCATTCAGAGCTCCGAGGGGAGGTAATTCGCCGGGAACAAGGGGCCGGCTTTGCAAAGTATAAATAGTGCCACTTCAATCGCGGCGTCGCTATCAGACCCCGGGAGCCCTGCACGTCGGGCGGCACGGCCCGGCCCGGCTCGGCACGGCCCGGGGCGCCGCCGCCTCCCCCCCGCGCCGTGGATGCCCGCCCGGGGAGCCGGGGCAGCGCGCCCCTGAGCCATGGAGGAGCTCACGGCGTTCGTCTCCAAGTCGTTTGATCCCAAAGCCAAGGAGAAGAAGGAGCTCATCACCTACCGCGAGGTGCTGGAGAGCGGGCCCCTGCGCGGCCCGCGGGAGCCCGGCGGGGCGGCGGCGGAGCCGGGCCGGGAGGACACGGGCAGCCCCGCGGCGCGGCCGGGCGGGCGGACCCCGCCGAGGGAGCCCGACGCCGCCGCCGAGAGAGCGGCCGAGGCGGCCACCCCCAAGCTCAGCGACGGTAACGGCGGCACCGCGGGACCCCCCTGCGCCCCTTCCCCTTGCCCTTGCCCTGCTTCCCCCGGCGGGGTCGGTACGCGCGGGGCCGGCGGGGATGGGCGGCTTCCCGGGCTTCGCCGGCCGCGGGGCATCCTTGGCCAGCCTCGAAGTTTTTAGATTAAAATACTGCAACACGGATTTAACTTGCTCGGAACGCGATCTTGTTCCCGCTCGGCATCCCACGGGAAGCCAACGAAATCCCGGCCCCGCGGGCCGGGGCTGCGCGGACACGCGTGGGGCCGGGCCGCGCTGCCCGCGCTCAGCCCCACTCCGCGCCCCGCGGCTCCCCGCGGAACCGCGCCTGTACGGCGGGGCCGGTCCCGGGGCGATGCTCGGGGCCGGTCCCGGGGCCGCCCCGATTTATTAATGAGCTCTCGGGCGCTGCGGGGAAGCGGCCGGGCCCGTCCCAGGGGCCGCGGGGACCCGCGGGTCGCTGCCGCCCTTTTGTTCGGACCGGCGGAGCGCCCGGAGCATCCCCGGAGCGGGTGCCTGGAATAAGGGAACGGGTGCCGCGGGGCCGGGGGAGCGCGGCGGGCGCAGGGCCGGGCCGGGCGGCCCCCGGGGGGCGGTGCGGGGGTCGCCGCGGGGGCTCCGCGCTCCGGCCCGGGGCGCGTCTCCGGCAGAAAAGGACCCAAGGAAAAGCGGCTCTCGGGGGGGCGCGGAGCGGCCTCGGCTCCGGGGACCTGTTGCAGCGCATCCCCCGGGGGTCGGCGGGGAGGGCTCGGTGCGGACCCCGCTCCCCCCCTCCCGCGTTCCCGCAGCCGGCGGCGGGGCCCGCAACGGCGGCGGCGGAGGCGGCCTAGCGCGGCCCGGGCGGGCAGGCCCCGCTCCGGCTGTCCCGGCCCCGGGGGCCTCTCGCCGCATCCCCCCGGGCAGCGGCGGGTGCGGGATGAGCCCCCGGACCGCGCGGTGCCCGTCCCGCAGCCCCGCCGGTCTGACCGCTGTGTCGTGCCCAGTGTCCCCAGAGCTGAAGGAGCGCAAGGAGGATGCGAAAGCGATGGAAGACGAAGGGCAGACGAAAATCAAGCAGAGGAGGAGCCGGACGAATTTCACCCTGGAGCAGCTGAACGAGCTGGAAAGGCTTTTCGACGAGACCCACTACCCGGACGCGTTCATGCGGGAGGAGCTGAGCCAGCGGCTGGGGCTCTCCGAGGCCAGGGTGCAGGTAGCGGGGCTGCGGGGGTCCCTCCCGCGTGGGTGCGTGTGCTCGGGAGAAAGGGCCAGCTGGGGAAGAGCCGGGGACATTATGGGGAAGAGCCTCATCCTTCTGCCGGGGAGAGGAGACAGCTCCCGGCCCCAGCTTCACCCAGCAAATCTGGAAACCGCCTCCCAGGGTTTTGCCTCCTCGGGATTTGTCTCCTGGCGTGTCCCCATCCCTTCGTTCCGCCGCGATTTTTCCCAGCTCCGCGTTTCTTCCATCCCTGCCTCGGCAGCAGCTCGGTGGCTCTGTGATGGTGTGGGTTGTGGTCCCTCTCCTTCCCTGCTCACGACTCATCCGCGGACACACAGATTCACTTCAGGCATGTTTCTAATTCATAAACTGAATTAGAAACCCTTAAGTGAAAAAAAAAATTTATATATATATATGCCGGTTTTCCGTGTAGTTCTTAAATTTTGAGGGAAGCGGCACAAAAATTGAGCGAGGTGCTTTGTTCGGGCTTACGAAATACAAAAAGTCTGGGATAAACAGGGGTTATTTTAAGCTTTCTCCCTCCCCGAGAAGCCGCGGCTTCCTTGGATTTAACCTGCTCTTTTCACCCTCCCAAAGTTTTTCAAAATGGGTTCCCGGCCTGGTTTCTGCGAGTTTTGTCGGGATGAGCTGAAGAGTGGGGAAGAAGGTGATTCCTCAAATGAGAACAAATGTAGCTGCTCCGGTGTATTTCCGTTCTGATAATAAAAGAAGAGAAAATGATGGTCATTATGTGTATGAACACATGGAGCAGTTTTAGGCCCCGAACATCTGCAGCTGGTAGAAAGTATCTCTGTAACAGATACTCCCCCTCAATCTTTGTGCTCGCAGGCACCATCTGCACCCAACTATGCGCTCAATCCTTGGGGGGTTTCCCTGCATCGTGTAAGATTGTAAGGACAGAGGCAGAGCCGGCACGGGGAACCGAAAAACTCCAAATGAGCAGCTTTTGTCAGAGCCTGAACCACAAAAAAAATAAAAATAAAAAATAAAAGCATCATTTCCCCTCTCCTCTCCCCCTGCCCCCCCCCGCTTTTTTTTTTTTTTAATTTGGTTAATGTTTTTTGTTTGGGTTTGTTTGTTTGTGGTTTTTAAATTTATTTTCCATTTCCGTCCACGAAATCTTAACAAAACCGAAGCAAAAAGTTGTTGGCTGTGGAAAATGGAGCAGGGAGGTGCTCGACAAAGGAGGCGGCGGCGGCGCATAATCCGCGCTTCCATGATGCCAAATCGCAGGGTGCATAATAACTTTTGGAGATTTACATAGATTAAAGCCAGTCCCTAGAAATCCCGCCGGAAAAAAAGCGCTTTGCAATAATATTTTGCCTGGTATCTGCGCTGATTTGTAAATTAGGGAATGTGCGTTTCCACGGGAGGCTGAGGGCGAACGTGGCTGTTGGGCAGGTTTTCCGTGGCTGAAGTAAATGACAGGGCGGGGGAAATTCCCGTTTATATTCCTCTCTTCGAGTAAGACTTCAAAAAATGCAATTTTTATACGTTTTGTTTTTTTTTTTCTGGCCGTGGGGAAAAGGTTCCTCGGTGGATGTGGCTGCCGGGATGCGACGCAGAGCCCGGGGTTAAAACAGGGATGTTTTAAAGACGCACTTTGCTCTCCCCCCTTCCCTCCCTCCTTTCTCCGAGCGAGCAGAACTTTAATCTGGAAATTTATTTTAACGATTTCATTTCCGATATTAAAAGTATGTTCTTGTCTAACGGGCAGCGTTTTCTGTGCAAACAAATTAGATTATCATGATAATGAGACAATTATTCCGCTTCTGTGCTACACTCCAGTGAACAGAGAAATTCGAAACTTCTTTGTAGCACAGCTTTTAGGATCGTAATTACCCCCCCTCAAAAATAGAAAAAAAAAAAAAAAAAGGGGGGAAAGGGGGAAAAAAGTCATTAAACTCTTCGGTGCTGAGTTTTTCTGGGAGATAAAGCTAATTAATTTATTTATTAATGAGCACGAGCTTCTCAGGCCCATTAGCGCGCCTCAGTATCGGATATCAGGGAGCAGTTTCGGTCTTTGGGGACGTCGGTTTGGAAAGGGGAACCCGGGGCTTGGGAAATCGTGTCCCCGGAGCGCGCACTCCGCTCGTGGCGATTTTCAGGGTATTTTAACTCTTTTTCCCTTTTCCTTTTTGCCTTTCGGAGCACGGGAGCGGGGGCTGCTGTCTTTGTCGGCGGGATTGCGCGGTCCGGGATTTTTTTGGTTGTTATTATTATTATTCGCAGCGGTGTTGCTGGCGGGTTTATTTTCGGTTTGGAGCTCCGCGGCAGCGCCGCCGTGACCCCCCTGTGCCCCCTCCCCGCAGGTCTGGTTCCAGAACCGACGAGCCAAATGCCGAAAGCAAGAAAACCAACTGCACAAAGGTACCGGGGAGGGGGGCGGCGTGGGGGGGTGGTGGGTGAGGGGAGCGACCCGCGTGGGGTGCGCGGTGGGTCGGGGGGTGGTCTCTCCGCTGCTGACCCTGCCGTGCCCTCCCCCAGGGGTGCTCATCGGTGCCGCCACGCAGTTCGAAGCCTGCCGGGTGGCCCCGTACGTGAACGTGGGCGCGCTGAGGATGCCCTTCCAGCAGGCAAGTGCCGGGCGGGCGGGGCGGGGAGGGGGGCGACGCGGCCGCCCGGGGGTCGCCGCCACGCCCGCCCTGCGCTGTCCCCGCAGGTTCAGGCGCAGCTGCAGCTGGACAGCGCCGTGGCCCACGCGCATCACCACCTGCACCCGCACCTCGCCCACGCTCCCTACATGATGTTCCCGGCCCCCCCCTTCGGGCTCCCGCTCGCCACCCTCGCCGAGTCCGCCTCCGCCGCCTCCGTGGTGGCCGCGGCCGCCGCCGCCAAGACCACCAGCAAGAACTCCAGCATCGCAGACCTCCGCCTGAAGGCCAAGAAACACGCCGCCGCCCTGGGGCTGTGACCGCCCCGCGCCGCTTTTTTAAAAGGAAAAAGAGGGGGGAGAGAAAAAAAAAAAAAAAAAAAGAAAAAAAAAAAAAGTGGGGAAAAAAACCCCACACCAACAAAACAAAACAAACAAAAAAAAAAAAGGAAAGAAAAAAAAAGAGAAACGGACGGGAGATATATAGTTATTTAAGGAATTAGAGGAACTCGACGCGCAGCTGGGAAGTTCACAGGTTTTGAAACTGACCTTTTTCTGCGAAGTTCACTTTAATACAAGAAATTTGATAAGAGAGGCGGGCCTCCCTTCACGTTGCATCAGATACTTGAGTTTAACAACCACGTCTGGAATAGCGACAAAAAAAAAGGAGAAAAAAAAAAAAAAAAAGAAGAGAGACGATGAAGAGGGGAAAAAAAAGGGAAAAAGAAAAAAGACTGATTTCTCTGCGAATTTCTAATGGGAAACTGTCCGGGATACTTCCTCCAGCAGCATTCCGGTTTGCATGTATTTGTATTTCATTGATGGAGTCCTTTGATTCACTTGCACTTCACCCTCATCTTTAGTAGAAAAAAACGAGACAACCACAAAACCAAACAAACAAACGTGGCTGGGTTCTTTCTCCTTTAATCTTGGAGGGAAGCAGGCAGAGAGAGGGAGATCAAGCACTACCTTTTCCACTCTAAAATCTTTGTTGGTCGTTTGCTGTCCCACCTCTGAAATGAAAGGGAGCGGAAAGCACCAGGAGAGCGGAGTGTGCCTCGCTTTGCCGGGTCTCTCCTGTCCTGAGGGCAAAAACAAACGAGAGAAAAAAAAAAAAAAGAAAACAAACAAAAAAAAGAGTATTTTATTCCCAACCACCACTTGACACCACGGCAAATTCCAATAAGAGGTACTGGGTACATGTAAAATATGTTGATACACACGAACAAAGTTTATTTTGGCTATAACTTGTGAATTGATAGTTGACTGTCAAACATTTACATTTTATCTCATAAAGGTGTATCTATTCACGTAATCTTGTGATTTTTTTGGTTATTATTATTATTATTTGAGAGACGTAAAGCTATTTAACCTGGGGCACCCTGCAGTCGGTGATTGTTATCCCAGATTTTGCCATCAGACCCTCAAGCTTATTGCCAAGACAGAGGGAAAGCTCTTCTACGTGAACTTTGGTATGGACGGGCTTTGTATCTATTTGTTCTCCATGAAAACAAAATTATTTATATTGACCATATTTTTTCTAGTGTATTTTAAGTTATTTAAAAAAGAAAATGAAAAAAAAAAAGAAAGCAAGATGCTGTTATCTCATTGCATTTGTTGTCAGTACAATATATTTTGTTTCACTCAGGTTTGCTTCACCTTTTTTAATCCATTTTCGACGTCACGAATTTCAATAAGTGCCAAGTAATGAATTTAAGACACTTTGCGATCTATTGACTGAAGGGGGGACGGTTTGGGGGACGGTTTCGCCTCCCTCCTGGTACTGTCGATGTCCGACCATCGGTGATGTTCTTTCTTTTCTGTGTTTACACCCTTCTGTAGAGCTCGCACGTTTCTTTCTGCTCCGTAGATATCGCGACACGCCGACAGCGCTCAGCACGACGAGGAAGCGCATTTCTTTTTTTTCTTTTCTTTTTTTTTTTTTTTATTTTTAACAACCACTTTATCTGAGTTTTTCCTGAGTTTCGGCCGCACAAACCCCGGGGCGCGGCGTTCGCGGTGGCTTTTCTGTTGCAGCCAAACCGGCCGGTGGAAGCTCTATAGCAATTGTGTCTTTACAAGTTCTGTCAGGTTCCCTCAGGTAATAAAATCGAGGAAAGTGGAACGGCTCGGAATATTTTCCAGGGAGGGATGGCGGGAGCGGGGGGGGGGATATTGGATCGGAACCTCCCGCCCCCGGCAGAGCCCGGCGTGGCTCCGGGTCGCTCTCGGGGGTACCGGGCTGGGCTCCTGCCCCCTCACAAGGGGCTCCTCCGCCCAGGGAAGCTCCAGGTATCCCGGCGGGAGCAGCGGGCTCCGGGCGCAGATGGACGGGGCTGGTTGGGGGGGCTCCGGGAAAGGAGGAGGGGGAGCCGCAGCCCTCGAACCCCTCCTCGGGGAAGCGGCGACCTCCGGTGAGCTGTAGGAGGGGTCCCCCCGGGCCCGGCTGCGGGAGAGAGCCCGAGGTGTCCCCGCGGGATGGGCAGGGACAGGGGCAGCGGCAGGGACGGTGTGCCCGGAGCCCTCCTGGCGAAGCCCACGGGCAGCGAGAGCCAAAGCAGCTCGGAACGCTTCTATGCAAATAACGGGCTGGAAATGATGGATTTTATGTTAGGGAAAACAGCTTTATTCAAGCAAAAGTAAGATACTGCTAATTATAAAGTCAATAAAACTCGCGGTGGTGCAGATTGATCCCCCAATAAAGCAGTTCATTAATATGAGCACGAGCAGCACGCGGTGCAGAGCCCGGGCTCAGCCTCGGGATCCTCACCCTCCTCCAGAGAAACCTGGCATGTTTTACCTGCTCTCTTCAGACTCCAACTAGTTTGAGTAGAGTTGTGCAACAACCTTGTGCAGGTTATTGATGTGTGCAATGTGAGTTTGGTGGACGTGTACAATGGGAATCTCCAACCTTGACTCAGCTCTCGGCACGTCTGTCTGCAAGATGATTGTAATAAAAAGACATGAAAAATGTGCTTTCATCCTACCAGAGAAGACGATTGGACAGTGTAAGAGAACTGTGTGTTTCTTAGCGCAGCTGTGATTAAAATAAAATAGTCTTAACGGGATATTTTTGGACAGGAATACTTACATTCCTGCTTTCCTTGGACTGGAATACCTAATAAGTCTATAGGCCGACAGAAGTTGGCCAGGACTCTTCTGTTTCTATTTTATTTCTTAGACTGTCTGAACCCATATAAAGCCTATATAAAACCCCGAAGGTTTCCTGAAGTGTAATTATGGGTATTCCACGAGCCAGCCGGCGCTCACACAGCCTGTGCTTCCTGGAGAGAAAACTTTCGCGTGGAATTTACATGGAGATGTGCTGGCCTGGGAAGGGGATTGAGGGAAGGGATCAAACAAATCGTGTAGGAAGGAGTAAACACCTGTTTCTGTCCTCGCAGAGCCCGTGGCGTGTTCGCAGCAGGACCTGACGCGGGTTCCTCGGGGCTGAAGCAGCAGCTTCCGCTTGTTTTGTTCCCCCTCTGCAGCAGCACCAGGTGAGGTGAGCAGGGCAGGGCGAGGGCAGCCAGGTGTCTGACAGGGATCTTGGACACCGCCACGCTCGTGGATCCCAGTTCTCCGCTCAAAAAGCCTGGAAACGAGAAGAAAAGAAAACACTGTGTCTGCCCAGTGCATAAAATGGCATGAAAACCTGCTGAATACTGTGTATAAAACTGATGTGTTGTGTTGCTCACTCACAGCTCAGCTTTATTGCAGGTAAAGCTTTTAAACTTGCCTTTCAGAGGAGCAGCCCTGGAAAAGCACTTGAGCCTCCGTGGCTTCCAGTCCTTCGAGTGAGCTGTGGCTGGATACCCATGGAATAAATAATGGGCTTTGCGTAACACTACACACTGTGCTGCTTCCTGCCCAGTAAATATTGATACTTGTCCAATTTTGTGGCTGTTCCCATTTCGTTTGCCCTTGAATCTTCAGTTTCTTGTTATTTCTCAGCCTTTCTGTGAAGCGCCAGCAGGCAAAAGTGCACCTTAAAGGTCAGAAATGTTAGAAATAAAGCAGCAGATCTGCATCACTTTTGTGCTTTTGAGGTGGGCAGCAAAGTTCTGAAAGGAGCTGGAAAAACTGTCCTCATTTTAAACCTTTCCTATGCTTGAGCAGCAACTGCCCCTGGTTTTGCTGGGGGATCTAATAAATGTGAGCTGTCAGTACTCACACTTTACACCAGCGCCCAGCCTTCCCTGCAGGTGTTCTTCAGGCAATTAAGTTGGTGTGAATGAAGGAAATTCTCAGAATTTTCTACACCACGAGCCTCCCCAGTCCAGTGGCAGACCGCAGGTTTTAGGATGCATTTGTGCTGTTTGGCCTGCTGTCACTAATTTTAGGGACTGACCAAAAGCTCAGTTTCTAATGGAAGAACCAGCAGAGCCCTCAGTTCCCATCGTCTTCCTCGGCAGCCTGGTAACCCCATGCTTCTTCTGACAGGAAAGAGCAGCACAAACCTAATTCCTCCCCAGTTTGGGGCTGATTTTTGATTTCAGTGGGAAGGGCTGGGAGTGCTGGGCGCTCCTGCCTGCGGGATCTGTGGGAATCTGCCGAATCATCCGTGTGCAGCATCACCCAGCACGTAGCGATGCTGTGCCCACACACGGCTCCTGGGCTGTGCTGCAGAGGCAGCTTCTCCTCCAGCAGGATCCTCTTGTGCTCACAGGAGCCCAGGCTTTTCCCACAGAGGGCTTTTCTCTCTTAAACTCTTTTTATATGGCAGCTGTGAAGGCTGTTTGGGGACGTCTTCCTTCATAACAAAGGTTTTATGGCCTTTGCACGTCAGACACGCTGATGTGCCATCAACTGCCTCCTTTCACACGGGCAAGAATCACCCAGGGAAAAATCCTGGGAGAGAATTCCGAAATGGGGAGGTACAAAATGCACAAAGGGGCAGTTTGACTTTCTCAGCAGTCACAGCCACCCTGGAAGCACTGAGGAGAAAACCCCTGGTTGGCAGAGCACAGCGGCAGAGCAGTGGGATCTTTGATGAACATCTTAAGCTAATTTAGAGGACAAGATACCAGTTTTAATAATGCATTAAGGAAATGCAGCTGCATCACCCTTCAGGCTGACATTCCATGTGACAGGCTAATACCCACACTGGTGCAGGATCCATTTGGATCACACTGGGATCCTTGCAGTGCATCTCCAGGTCCACAGTGGTCTGTGTAGAGTGGTTGCAGGAGCCCTCAGCAGGTGCCTGCACATCCTCCTCTCGCTGCCAGCGCTGGTGTTTTGCTCTTTAAAAGTGTCACCCTGGATTCTGCATCTCCTGGAAGAGGCAGGAAGCACCAGCAGTCACTTCTGTCTGGTTGCCAAGCTGGGCAGCAGCCGCTCACATCCAGCCGCTGGTGTTTGGAAC